AAAAAAAAAAAACACAACAACAACAACAACAGCAACTCACGTTTTCTTCATCAAGGCCTTCTCAGAATAACGCTTCTTGGCCAACATCTTACCCTTGATACCCAGAGTCTGCTCATTCACATAAAACAACCATCAATTTCACAAACTCATCATTAGCACATAGATAAAGAACAAAACGAGATTAAGACAACAAAAAACAAAAAATCTAACATTCTGGGCTTGTTTGGATCTCTTGTGAACTTCACGAGCCTCCTTCTTGCGCTTGCGCTCGTGGTAGTCAAAGCGGCGTCCATGCCGCTTTATGGAAAGGTCTATGTGATCACCTTGCGGCTGCAAAATGTTAATTGCATCAGAAAATCAAGCGAAAAAGGATGAATAACCGAGTAAAGACAATCATCGTATACGAAGGGCAATCAATCAGAAACGCACCATGGTTGATTAGCAGCAGACTGTGAGAATTGGCTCAAAACCTAGCAGCAACTGTAAGGGAGGGGTTTAGAGAAGAGAAGACGATGTTAGGAAAAATCTCGTTATAAATTAGGGTTAGGGCCGTTAGGCTTACAGAACCGACCTGGATTTGGGAGTTGGAACGGGCATAATTATATGAATTGGGCTCTTTGGTCAACTGGGCTTGATGAGCCCAATACCACCATATAAAATTATGAAAATTATGTTGTTTCATTTCATGTCCTATTTGAAAAAATAAAAAATAAAAAATTCATGTCCAAAGGAGGCCTCTTGATGCACCGGTGCGTAGGGGAGTTCTACAGCGGGTCGATAATGTTAAGAGAGGTAGAGGTCGGCCTAAACTCACTTGGGAAGAGTCGGTTCAGAGAGACCTTAAAGATTGGAATATCTCCAAGGATTTAGTGGTGGATAGGAGCGCTTGGAGACTAGCCATCTACGTGCCTGAGCCGTGATTTTTGCTTCTTTTTCTTTTGCTCTTTCTTTTCTTTCTTTCCTTTTCTCTTTCTTTTCTTTTCTTTTCTTCTTTTGCTCCAATTTCTTATATTTATTTATCTATTTTTATTTTTATTTTTATTTTTAATTTTTAATTTTATTTATTTATTTATTTATTTATTTATTCCTTTCTTTTTTCTTTTTTATCTCTGACCACCGTTTCTCTTGGGTTTCATCTCTAGCCTACCCCAACTTGTTTGGGATTAAAAAGCTTTGTTGTTGCATGTCCTATATTTCTAGTATTGACCATTTGACCTGCCATAATTCATTATGCAATACCAATTCATAATTCTTGATTTTCTCTCGTTATATTCAAATGTGTTAAATATTTTATTTTATAATTATTATGTTCTTGTAGAACATTCAAGATACAATTTTTAGCCTAAAATTTTGAAAACATTTAAGGTTTGACTTGAATCATACAGCTTTGAAGGTTGTAGTTGAAAGCCTTGTACTTGATTTGGAAGTAAATAATATCTTAGATTTAAGTGATAATTACATAAACTAGAGTGGGAAGTCTAGGCTTATATTTCACACTTCCATCAATTACCTATACAACTTATTTTTAGAAGGAGAAAAAAAAAAAAAAAAAAATTTACAACAAATTAAAAATATGCTAGCAATTGGTAACAAATCAAAATCACTTTTGACCAATCACCTAATTTTTGCAATCTTGTTAATAAATTTATTCAACACAAATCTCATCATCATATTATCAATATACATTAGATAAACTTTGATAATTACTTCATAAATATTATTTAATTACAATCTCAGTCATCTCACTTAATCAATTTAATCTCAGTCATTTTGCTTAACATACAAATGACCAACATAATCAAATTGAACTTTGTTGAAAAATTAAAAAGACACACCGAAAGGCACATTTGATCTGAAAAACCAATTCCACGCAGACAATTTCAGCAATTACCTTGAAACAATTAATCACAAATATAAAATAATGTGATGTAAAAGATGAAAAATTTACCTCTTACACCGTCCGTCGCCGAACAGAGGGGCAATGAGAGATCGGAGTGGCGGAGACGAATATTGTTGCTCGAGTCTTGGCTAGGGTTTTTTCTTTTATTCTCTGCTTTTGAGTTTTGACGAGGAGATAACAGATCCTAAGGTCCAATGGTCCATATGGAGATGATCAAAATAGTCAATTATGTTGTGGGCTTGGGCTTAAATTGAAGGGCTTCGTGACTTCAATCGTATGAATATGATATCAATTATCATTTTTGAGAAAATTACTGTCTTTATTGCATATGTACAGAAACTAATATTTTATTAGCAAAACTAGAAAATTTATCTTAAAAATTTGTATATCTACGACATCTATTGATATTTTGGATTTAACTTTTTTTTTTTTTAAACAGTTTTGATAAGGTAATGTTCTACATTATGGGATAATAGCCGATATTATTGGGATTAGTATTTTCCCACACGCCATCTCTCTTTCCACATTCAGTTTTCTTCTTCACGCCATTGTTCAGAACCTCCAAATCCTCTCTCTCTCTTTTTTTTTTCCATCATCAAACCAACCCCCCAACACAATTTTCCATATTAACCTCGAGGCGGAATCAGTAAACAGTAATGAAATCATATTGTCTCATTACACTCGGCCTGAGATACAAGTGTTTCTTGTTCTGCATCACTGCGACTAGTAAAAAAAATACAAGAAAAATAGATAGATTATATCTTCACGATTATGTCCTAAAATTTTCCGTCATCATCAAAAGTTCCAACAATTAATGGCGTGGACAGAAAGAGGCCGACGGATGCACTTTGGCGGGGCAGCGCCAATCTCTTGGATTGAACATCCAATATTTGCACAGCGAGCGGCCGACGGTCGGTGGCCGTCTGGTATAGCGATTCGAGCCGAAGGGTCGACTGGACGATGGCCACCTGGGTTGAGCACCAACTATGCGTGTGGAGCGGTTAGTGAAGGGACGACCATAGGGATTTCAGTTGAGGACAATAGTCGGATTTTTTGGACTCATTGTTCTGCATGTACGATGACGTGTACATCGACTTGTGAATATAGGCAATATGTTTTTCGATCGAGGATGGTAGTCGGCTTTTTCGGACTCATTTGTTCCGCCTGGACTGATTGTTGAGTATATAGACAGTATATTTTCGGTTTATACACAGTTTATGTTTTGTATATTAGAACATTTTACAGATACATACAAATGAGCAATTTGTTGTTTTTGGTTGATTATTGGTTATTTTTCATAATTATGTATATATTGTGTTTATATACAGTATATTTTTTGTATATGTTGTACTTTTAAACATTTTATTTAGGCTTTTGAAGATGTTGAAACATTGATAATAATACATAAACTGATCATATACCAAACATAAACTATTTAACTAATTATAGTAGTACCGATCACATATCAAACACTAAGAATATACAATACATTAACAACCATATTAACAACCATACACCACCGAAAAATAGCAAAGTTTTATTTAAAAAACACTATAAATTGCACATTCTTGTCGACAAAACATATACTGAAAATATACAATACATAAAATGATCATATACCAAACATAAAATACTAATAAAAGTTAGATAAATATTAATTCGGCGAATGATTTAAACTGATCGAATCGAATAAAAGATCCGGATTAAGACCCGAAACCACAACCATAACCATCAAGCGTCCGTCGGATCTTGATGAGCGCACTCCTCTTCAGCAACCTCTGTCTCTTGCTCTCTGCCCGAATCTCATCGATCGTAGGCCGGACACGGCTTAGATCGGCGACGAGCCTGTCGAGGGGCCAAAAGCGTAGCCCGAAGCTCATCAATGAAACTTGATGTTTATTAGTTTTTTTTTCTCGGTTATGGAGAAACATAATACATTTTTTCTTTTATTTGATGAAGGAATTGACGGAATATAAACGGTACATAATCTTAAAATAAATATTTTTAAAAAATGTATCTATATACTACACATAAACGAAATATAAACGGTACATAAACGGAATCCCAGGGAAGCAGCCGCTCGCCTATGAGTTTTATGAGTCGCCGCAATCCGCCATAAATCTGAGATACCGTCTGGTCGTAGTCGTGCCGCAAATTGCCGCCCTCGATCTGCATCCATTGATTTTTTACCATCACTAGTCACGTTCAGAATTACAGTTGGACTCCTCCAATATATGCTCGCCGCTCATCGCCTTCCAGCCTCCACCGCCATTAACCCAAAACCGCGGGCTTTATTGCAGTGAGTCATCTGTCCAATGCCAATCGCTCAGTTGACCTTGCCGCACATCTCCATCAACGGTAATCGACGTTGAGCCTCTCTAATATCTAGTTGCCAACACCCCTATTTTGGCGGCCTTGAAAAGGGAATGGGAGTAATACAACAAAATAATGGAGAATTTTTGAGTGAATCATAGGGTGTGCAGTGCGTGAGGATGAAAGTGAGATTTAAGGATTTTGTGTGTAATAATGTGTGGATCACAATATTAATTTTCTTAATTAATTACACATCATATCCGCAATTTTAGTGGGTGTGGCGTTTTTTTTT